TTTAAAAAAAAAGGCGCAACATTCACAAATACAGGTTTACAGTTAGGATGGTAGCTGCTACTGTGTAAGAAAATGGATAACAAAGAACAGGTCTCATTTCTCCTTGCTCTTCTAATTTCCCTTCCTAAAACCTTGACAAGCAAACGTAATGGGGAAACCAGACTATGTCACTAACTTAACAATTGTAGTGATTCACTTAATAACTGTAGCAAGAAAAAATTGTAAAACTATGCAAAACTCACTTAACAAATGTCTTGCTTAACAACAAAAAATATAGTTCCAAGTCAAGGACTACCTGCATTAGCTCTTCAAGGTTTTAGGAAGGGAAATTAGAAGAGCAAGGAGAAATGAGACCTGTTCTTTGTTATCCATTTTCTTACACAGTAGCAGCTACCATCCTAACTGTAAACCTGTATTTGTGAATGTTGCGCCTTTTTTTTTAAAGTGTTGTCTTGTCTATTTATCCCCCTTCCCTTGTCTGTTGTGAGCCGCCCGGAGTCCTCCGGGAGTGGGCGGCATACAAGACAAATAAAATGAAAATGAAATGAAATGGCCAGCAAGCCACTCCCACCAGGTCACATGACCAGCAAGCCACTCCCACAAAGGAGGCCACACCCACAGAGTAGGTTCGAAATTTTTTTGAAACCCACCACTGGTCCCATCAATTAACCAATGTTCTCTGGTGGACCTTCTCTGTTACTGTATCTGCTTTTTGGAGTGACTCCCCCCCTTCTCCAGAGGATTACATACAGGCTACATTTGGCCTGTCCTCCTTAAAAATCTGGCTTTTCTCTCAGGTTTGTAGTCAAATGGATGTGCAGGCCTGTCTGAACTGCAGGGGTGTGTGAAAGGATAGCTTGTTCCCTTGAACAGTCATTGTATGGATGTTTGTTGATTTTGTGGGATTGTACTTCTTTTGACTTTGTGAAGCCATCCAGAATCATCTGGAGTTGGGCAGCCTAGAAATTTAAACAAACAAACTCTACAGATGTAGATGAGCACATGAAGACATGGAAGATATGCAGGCAGCATGACATCAGCATCATGTAATCTAGTAATGAGTTGCCTTCTTGCTAAATTGAAATGTACTCCTAAAAAACCATATGTATAGATATTGTATGATGCATTGTTCTCAAGGATCAAATAAGGATGGGGGAGAATGTATACAATATATCCTGACACATCCAAAGCCTCCTACACAGCCAGAATTGAAACAAGACTTCATGTTTCCTTTTCCGTTCTGTGTTATTTCTAGATTTTCCCTCCCACTGGTTTCAATGGAAAGGGAATGAAGTGTGTTAGTTGCCGAAAAGGCATGTTATTTTCCCCATTCCATATGTATGTCAAGGGAATGAAGCAAAAGGTGTGGAATTCAGTGAGTAGATTCAAACAGTTGCTAAACAAATAGTTGTAAGTCAAGAACGAGCTATATATGAAAACAGTATTATAATCCCACAAAAGGCTTAACTGCCTTTAAAACGAACAAGGAAAATTTCCCATTCCTTCAAAAAAAAATAGGAACACTTATCCTGAAAATCTTTGTTCCCACCATATGTAACACATAATCACCTCTGTTCTTTTTGTACCAGAATTAAATCACCCATTGTAGCTCTTGGCATCCCACCCAAAATTTTGGTTTGGACATCAACCACCAAAGCACTGTCTAATCTTAGCTTAAATAAGTTTGGCTAAGCGATTGTCCCTGTACTTTAAACAACTATTATGTGAAGCTGAGTGAGTGCTATCCAGGAAAAACAAATGCATAAAAATATAATCCAAATCACTCTTAATCGATTGGAACATTATTAGAATTTATCTCAAACCTATTTTACTGTATAACTTAAAAAAGGTAGGTTGTGATGGATATATAGTAAATGTACTGCTAATAAGAAAACGATGTACATCAGTTTAAAAAATGCATTTAAATTACACCTATGGAGGCCCCAGGCTTTGATGAATTGGATGTCAAATTAGAGAAAATGTTTAATGGACTCTATTACATCATAAATCTCCCAGTTGCCTAGTTAGGGAAGGATGTTCTGCTCAGATCACAGAGCTCAGAGAATGTTTTGAAATGTTCCTTGACAATTATTAATGTCAGACTTCTCCAGTTTTAGCATCAAAAAGTACTATAATTTCCTGAATTCAGTAATCTGTGTGGATGGTAATACTTTCAGGTTTTACATGGAATTCTGATATGTAGCCTGTCTCTCCAAAAGACAATTTAAAACCTGCAGGGCCAAAGGTCTGTCCACTCGCACTTAATTCTTCAGCATCGCCTTAACTTAGAGTAGTACAAGTGCCTTGGTTTCAACTACAGCAGATGAAAGCACAAGAAGAACCCTGCTGAGTTAGACCAAGAGTCTTTTCTTAATCCAACAACTTGTTTCCCACAAGCGCCAACTAGACGCTTCTGGGAAGCCCACAAACAAGACATAGAATCATAGAATTATAGAGCTGTAGGAAACCACTTTTATCCATCGTGTCTGTATCATTACTTAGGGCAGGAATCTAAATTAACACATTCCTAACCAATGGTTGTCCATTCTCTGCTTGAAGACACTCAGTGAATGGGAGTTTACCTCTTTGGGTTCCACTGTCAGACTGTTTTTCCTGTTAGGAAGTTAGAAATCTTCCTTTCTGTAATGTGAATCTATTACACCATAGCTTATACTCAGTGGTGGCATTCAAATAATTTAACAACCGGTTCTCTGCCCTAATGACCAGATGGGTAGGTGTGTCTGGGTAGTCATGTGTCTGGGTGAGTGTGACCAACTTGACATCACTCAGATCAAGGGACACCTTACCTTGCCCAGCCTCTCCTCACTACGCCCAGCCATGCCTCACCCCTCCCTTCCCAGCCACTCCTTATCATGCCCAGCTACTGGCCCTGCAGCCCAGCCAGACGACTGGCTGGGTGGCCAGGTGAGCAGCTGGGCAGCGAGGTGAGGAGTGGCTGGGAGGGGAAGGGCGAAGTGGGGCTGGGCATGAGGAAGTACGCTATTTAGCCAGTCCACCGAACTACACAAAAACTTAGCTATTGGTTCTACCAAACATGTGCAAACTGGCTGAATCCCACCACTGCTTATACTCCAGAACAATACCTAAATTTTCTTCTGGATGACATCATCACAGGTATTTGAAGAGATCATATCCTGCCTTAGTCCTTTCTTCTCCAGTCTGTTCCCAGATCCTTCAAAATTTCTTCAAATGACTTAATTTCTTATCTCAATTCCTTTTTTGACATCCTAATTTCTCTAAAATGTGATAAATGTAGATACACATCGCAGGGGGGGGGTTTGAAAATTAGACTTTCACTGACACAGCCTGGTGTTATCCTTTTCTTTTCTTTTTTTGCAGACAATCACAGCAATGATCCATCTCTAGTTTGTAATAAACTACTATTTCCAGGTCTTTTCAGCAAATGCTGTTACAAGGCAGGGATTTCTCCATTCATTTCTACACATTTTGTTTTTTTGTGTTCTAAGTGAAGAACACCCAGTTCTACATGTGGCATCTAGAAAATCTTGGCTGATCTCATAAAGCAAGCTAAGAGTGCATCTGGCTGGTATTGGATGGGAGTTCACCAGACAATTTCAAGATCACATTGGAGAGTCAAGAAACAAGTCAAAGATAATAGCTACTTCTCTGTTGTTGCCAAAATCAGATGGCAATGAAGACACAAGGAATTGAATTTGAATAGAAGTCATCTTACATTTAAAAAAAACACCTTTGCATGCATTTGTAATAAAGATACTTTGGTGATCTTGAGCATGTTTTAATTTTGTATCAGTCTTTTAGGGTATTTAACAGGGGCATCTGGCTTCAAAATGGCAGGCATGATTAGATTAATAAATCCCCACCCATTTTATATCCATAATATATTTTAGAAATGAGAGTGCTTTGATGGTCAACCTATCATTTTGAAACCAGTGATTATCACTACAGATACTGTTCTTTATGTCATCTGAAAATTTGATAAGCATCATCTTTTCATCCAAATAATTAGTAAAAATGTTGATTTATAAGCCAAAGACTAAAACTTCTGGTTCTCCATCTTTGGTAAAAAAAAAACAAAAAAAAAACATTGATAAGTAGCATCAGAATAATAATTTAGTTTCCACCTCGAGCCGGGGTTGCACAAGAATAAATAAAAATGAGATCCAGACAGCTGTGAGGAGAGAAAAAACATGTATTCCTATGTTGGAAGAAATGTCCTTCTGGGCTCAGTTCCAAGTGGGGAAGAAGACACTGGAAACATGGAGGCTGCTTAGAAAGATGGTTTAATGGTGGACAGGACCACATGGCTTGAGATCCTGGGGAAAAAGATGATCATATGCTTCCAGGTGAAGAAGAAAAAGAAGAAGAAGAAGAAGAAGATGGTGATAGTGAGAGGAGGGGCTTGCTGGGTTTTTAATACTCTGTTCGGCCCCGCCTCTTTGTTTCTTGTTCCTGTGTAAGAAATATATTCTGATTGGGTGTCAGACTCCCATGGGACCATGCAAGGGCAACTCTCTAGGCTGTGTTTTGAGTCCCAAGTTTGGTTGAGTTCTCAGATGCCATGTGGTGAGTTGAGTAAAGGGCTAATGCCTTGATTCCATCACCTGGAGCTGAAGGGGAGGGGTCTTTGTTATGTAAATAGCAATAGCAATAGCAGTTAGACTTATATACCGCTTCATAGGGCTTTCAGCCCTCTCTAAGCGGTTTACAGAGTCAGCATATTGCC